TTCGTCGAATTTTTGTAAAACTATAATATATTTAGAGTTATAGACAAACAACTAATTAATATTAATAGAAGATACTATTAAGTTCGAATTATAGCATTAAGAATGGTAGCAATTCTTAAGAATTAGAGGCCTCCAAACTCGCTCTCGGCGGTCATGGTGTCATCTTGCAAGTACATTATATCCATTATTGATAATGCTAAAGCTTAATTAAGAGATTTTGATCGCTTAACATTTGTGTCATGCTTCTCCAAGTGACAATTCAATTGGAAAAGATGTTTACAAGATTTTTCCCATTTGAGAATTTCCATAGAAGTTCAAGATTTGTCATGAAGAAGAAGAAATATCGATCCAAACGATTTATGTTTCTGTGTGTAACTCTCAACTTAACTTTACAATGTAACTAGAATCTTGCTCGTGCGCTCAATAAATATGATTATTCAATTATATGTTTTAAAATTTATTTATATAGATATACATTTTTTCTTTGTTAAGTTATGACATATTAGCGTATTAATATTCTATTGTTTAAAAAGTAAACTCTCTATTTTTTAATCATAATATTTTAATACTATTCTAAATACATCACATTTTTATGTGAATTGATTGATCACATTTTTTAAATTGATCGATCGATCTGCAGTTTACTGATCAAAAATTTTGTAATTCTTCTTGATATTAAAATTTATTTCATAAAAAAAAAATCAGATGAATTAAAATAACTTATCAGTGGAATGCTTTCCACAAATTTTTCTTTTAAATCGTTTAGCTCGACTTGGCTCTCTAGTCGTAAACTAAATCATCTAATTAAATTGGTGTGCCCTTAAGTTTTTCCTCTCATTCATTCCTATAACCGTAACAATCCTTCTCTGGATATAGTCTTCAACAGCTTCATCTTCAACTTCTTGAGGCTGAAAGCCAAGAACAGAAAAGCAATCTTCTTGGATCAAAAGTCTTTGTGATGCAAACTTTATAGTCAAAAATGGAAGCTGCCCATTAGTTTTCGAGGAAGAGACTAACGGTGCACTCTCGATGTTGTACACTGAAGCATTCCATGCTCTTCTCTTGCATTATAGGATTTTAGCATATGATCGATGCATCGGATACTTCATAGCACTGAGAAGCAATTCCATAAATGTCTGTGAATGATGCATTTATTTAGTGTGTGTGTAAACTTAGCCATGGTTTTGACACAGGAGACAAAGCTGTAGCTATATTCTTAAACTCAATAGTGTTTCACTTTGGAGAAAAGAAAAGTCAAGTCAAATAACTAATTTGACAATACAATGATGTGGATAAATATCTCATAGTATTTATTTTTGTATCAATTTATTCGTCATAAATCAATGTCATTCTTGACGTCACTTATTAACTTTAGACACATAAAATCCAACGCTGCTGTTTCACATTATCAACACGTGTCGGCATTTTGTTCTTTGATCCGATCTGTTTGGGATGATTTGTCTCCTAATTCCCTTTTGGTCTTGTTTTTTACAATATTGCCAAAAAATAAAATAAAAATTAACCAATTATACTTTAATACATGTAGATGAACCACACTAAAAATTCATTTTTTTTTTTGTATTTATGTTACTGTATTTCTCTTGTATTTCACTAAAAAATTTCATTAGTCCTAAAACGTATAGTATTATATCTACTTTTCCAAAACAATTATTTTCATTTTGTTATATGCTTTAGCCTTTAGGTGTTTTATTTTTTTTCCCTGCAGTCTAAAAATTTGCAAACTAATTTGTACAAATGATCATGTCACTAATCAAATCATATTCTTTATTCCCACCTGTCCCAAAACCAGCCCAAAAAGTTTCTCCTAGTTCGACCATGACTAATAGTAGTATTTAAAATAAGATTATTAAATTATTTTTTGTACTATATTGTTAAGAGTTTATTTATGTCAAAATAGTCGTCGCTTTTTCACAATAGATTCGATCAGGAAAACAAAACCCAGAAGAATAATGATGAAGAAAGAAAAAGACAACTTTCCTTCTTCCTCGCTATAATGCGCCTGTGTCCGTGTCTGCTATACTACGCCAGCCTCCGTCTTCTTCGTCTCTCTTCGCCGTCTTATGTCTGATTTTCTCTGCCTCATTCTCAGATTCTTTATATGAGAAAATTTGTCTGTATGTGCAAATCCAAAATGGGAGTCAATGCTTCAGAGCCAACCCGAGCACGATCACGATCGAGTCAATCTCAATCTCAGGGAAGGAATCGCCGTACTCCAACGACGAATCGATCACCGTCAACGAGCACAACCACCGGTACAACAACCACATCAACCTCAAATTCTAGCAAAACCGGTGCTTCTTCTTCCTCAGTCGCTAGTCGAACATCTCTCGCTAGTCTCCGAGAATCCTTACCGGAAAATCCACACATATACGACGTCTCCGAAATCCGTACAGCCACCAACAATTTCCTTGCTAATCGTCTATCTTCCTCTTCCTCTAAAGCTTCGTGGCGATGCAATCTGAGAGGGAAAGAGGTCGTTGTGTTTCAGAGAAAGTTTAGACGGAGAATCGCTAAAGATGAGCTTAGAGATCGCCTTTCCGATACCTGCCGGAGTCACCACGGAAGCATAATCAATCTCCTCGGAGCTTCAATTTCCGGCGGCGGAGGAGGAGGAGGCGATCACATCTATCTGGTATACGAATTCGTCAACGGAGCATCTCTTGCAGATTGCTTGAGAAACCCTAAGAACCCTAATTTCACAGTTTTATCGAATTGGAACTCGAGGATCCAAATCGCGACGGATCTAGCTCACGGGATCGATTACATCCACAACAAAACTGGATTGAAGATCGAAAACCTCGTTCACAATCACATCAAAAGCTCTGCGGTGATCGTGACGGAGCCAGATTTCAACGGTAAGATCTGTCACTTCGGAACGGCCCAACTCTGCGGCGAAACTGAAGAAATGTCGCCGGAGAGAGACGAATCGAGGAATCCGAAACGATCTGAAAGCAGAGCGATTAGATTCGAAGGAGTGAGAGGTTACATGTCGCCGGAATTTCAAGCGTCGGGTATCGCTACTCAGAAATCAGACGTTTACGCTTTCGGAGTCATGTTGCTGGAGCTTCTCTCCGGCGAGGAGCCGTTGAAATACAGGTACGATAAATCGACCGGAGATTTCGAGCGTACGTCGGTGATCGAAACCGCGAAAGCGGCGATGGACGGCGGAGATAGCGATAGAGAGGGGACGTTGAGGAGATGGATGGATCGGAGATTGGGGGATTCGTTTCCGGTGACGGTTGTTGAGAAGTTAACTCGGCTGGCTTTGGAATGCGTGCTAGATGATCCGGTGAATCGACCGGAGATGGGAAGAGTCGCCGGAAAAATATCTCAATTGTATTTGGAATCGGAGAAATGGTCGGCGAGTATGAAACGCCCAACAGATATCACCGTCTCCTTCGCTCCAAGATGAGCGAAT